CCTTCAAAGTGGTTATATGTCAAATTGTAGGACTAGTTTTGTTGGGTTTTCATGCTACTATAGTACTGTTTGCTACTATTTGTCGCAACAAATTTTGGTCATTGTGCTCATTTATTTCGGCGTTAGCTGAATCCGATACCTGCTAACCTTTGTACTGTGAAGCTAACAAGTTACAAGAATTCGGTAGTTGTCACAACCAAGGAAGAAAATATCAGTAATATCGGAAATATCGGTAGTTTGAAAACACGGAAATATCGATGGAAATATCGGGATAATATCGATATCGATAAAAATTACATGGAAACCACGGAAATTGTAAGAAAAACTTGGAAATTTTTAATGAAACTTTGCAGGATGTTTATTTAGTCAATTATCTATTAGTTTATCACAAAAAATTGGAAGGAAATGCATTGCATGATGGATTTAACTGATTTAAGTTGATTATATAGCGAGCTGGCAAACATTGTGAGTGTAGAAAATATGTAGTAATTAATGAAAGAAGTTTAAACACACCATAATCATTTATATATAATTAATTAGTACAATATTGGGAGGTTTTATTTAGGATATTAAAAAAAAAAAAGGGAAGTGAATAAAATGATAAAGAATAATGTGCCGAATTTGACACTGGTTTTTCGGCCAAACCAGGGCGAGTTGGCCGGCGTGCAAGGTATCAATCTCTTCGTCTCGTCGAGTAGTACAACTTTCCTTTTTGTTTCACTCAATTTCGTTGAGTATTGAAAAAGTTATACTCATTTGAATCTTACCCAGTTTCCGGCGACCTCAGTGACTTTGCTAGGCATTTTCTGGCCAAACTACGACGATTCAGACGTCGTGTGAGGTACCATTATATTCGTCTCTTCGAGGGCTACAACTTTCGTTTTTGTCTTGCTTGATTTTGTTGAGTTTTGACAAAGTTATGGCCGTTTAAAGTGGTTGTGGATTTCCGGCCGAAATTCCTATTTTCTTCCTTGGTCGAGTCTCACATCGCCCATGTGAGGGCAGTGAGCAAGCAAGAATGCCTCTAAAACCCACATTCCCAAGCTGAGAAAAGTTTGTCTTGGTTGGCCCTTGGGCTATGATCAAGTGTAGTATGTGTTGAGATTTCTCAACATTTTTAAGTATTTTTGAATATTATATTACAATATTTTGACGAAAATCATTTGGATAGTTAAAAAAATATCGAACCTTAAAAAAAAACGATAATATCGGCGAAATATCGCCGATATTATCGATTTTTTCTTCCTTGATCACAACTAATTAAGAGCTGGTAAGGGATTGCTATTTTAGGAAATTTTTGTGCTCATATATAGGTTCTTTCATTGGAATTCGAAATTGTTATTAAACATCCAGGTGCTTTGTGAAAAACCCCTTGAAAGTGCAGGTGATTCTTCAAAAAGCGCTTCTACAACTAATAAACTATGTTGGTGGTTCAAAAACGTTTTCAGTCATTTCAAATTCAATCCCAAACAATACCTAGTGAAGCTTTGAGATGAACTTGTTAGGGGTTTCAATCCCATTGTTTTTACTGGATGGAAAGTGAAATGCTCACAGCTCTCACTCAGTTATAGAAGTTAGAGAGGCAGCCATTAATGGGTGGGATGGGGCTTGGGGATGTCTCAGTCAGGCTGAATGATTCAACATCTGCAAGTGTTCCCAATTTGCACTACAATTTTGAATTGGGGTGGTTGTGTTGGGGCTCTGCTGATTAAAAGCTTTGGTCATCAGCTCATCAACCTTTCCTGTGAAGGAGAAGGTTTCTTTCTTGTCAATGACCTGCATTATCTCTCTCTCTCTCTCTCTCTCTCTCTCTCTCTCTCTCTCTCTCTCTCTCTCTCTCTCTCTGTTGAATTGTACTCCTCATCATTCATCAAAAATAATATTTTTCATGATGCTTATTATTTTCCTATTCCAAAATAGTAAACACATATTGTTTTGTCGTTTAGGGAGCCAATAATTTGAGTTGCTAGGTATAGAAACCTCCTCCGCTTTAGAAAGCATGTGGTTTAATATCCTAATGAATAGAGTGTTGGATATTACTCATGCGTTATTTCCTAAACTATTATAATAGTATTGAAAATTTTCCCTTCGTCTTAATAAAAGTAAATAAAAAAGACGAAAAATGTAGTTTTTATTTATTTGGTGGGCACACCTTTCTTTTTTTTCAAGCGGTATTCTTATTTAGTCTAAATTACAAAGCGAAGGATTCAATTTGAAAGCAAATAAATAATAAATTATTTTAGTTAACTTGACTCCGTGTACGACTGCAAAAGAAAAGATACGATTTAATAAAGTAGAAGTTTTAGAAACATGCTTAGACAATTGGAAAAAGAAAAAGGAAATTAAAGACCTAATGCGCAGGTAGTGGCTTGGCTTTTCTTCCCCTCTATCATAAACACACCCTTCAAAGTAGCTAAAAATAAAGTACAACACTTATTTCATACTAAAAAAAAACATCATGTGAAAGTATCACTCTTTAATTGCTGGTACTTCCCTGCTGGGAGAAACTAGAACTACAAAGGAAAACAACTTTCACACATTCATTTTCTGGCCTACACTGCTCTTTTTAGCCTTTGTACTAAATGTATCAAAGATGAATTGAAGAATAAAAATAAGAAAACGAATGTAGAAGAAGAACACAAGATGAGAGTGCGTAGATCACTGCTCAATAATCATAAAACAACACGGTAACAAGTGTTCTTAAAAAACTTGTTACTAGAACTTCAGAGCCAGCTAGCAAGTATTATTTACTTTTCTCAACCAATAATAATGCAGAACAAGTGACCTAATAAATATGTATGCAAGAACAATAAAAGTCAATTGCAATGTTTCCTTTTTTTTTTTGGTCGGAACAAGATGCATTGTTTCTGTTATGTTTTACCCCCATAATATGTCGGCAGGAATGTATAAACGAGCAGATAAATGCAGTGGTGGCTAGGAGAGGCGAAAAATGCCTCTATGAATCTTCTTGACTGCCGGAAGGATGGAGTGTAATGGCAAAACTACAAGTTGGTCCCTTTTTTTGAAGAAAAAAAAATGCAGTTATTGTGGCAAAAGCCTCATGCAGCTTGATTAACGAGTACAACTTCTCAAGCCAGATATCTCTCTTAGTTTCGTGTCACTGTCTCACTTATCACGTAACTATATTGATATAAGTATTTTTTTTTCCGCTAATTAATAATAGTTTTCAGTATTGTTTCTTGTTTTTTTTTTCTTTTCCTTTTTTTGTTTCTCTGCCCCAACATTTTAGACATTTTAGAAAATGAAGTTTCAAGGCATGCATTTGTGCCACCTTTGTGTACCTTTTGACCGGCTAAAGCTTGATAAAGAGCTCTCTTCCAAATATTTAAAATTTCACGTCACAAAACTGACTAAAAGTAGAAGAGAATTCCCACTCAAATTTGTTCAATTTAAAATTTTAGCATTATTTATTAAATTTGATATACGCAAAATTCGAACCTAGAATTTCAGAAAAAACATCACTCAACTATGAACTACAAAATTCGAACCTATTTTGCATCCAAATTCATATACTGACTTACTTGAAAGGATAATACTTGGGTACTGAATAGTCAGTACCCAAAAAACTGACAACATAAAATGGCCCAATAAGATAAAAACACTTGTTACAATTTAATTTTATAAACAAGTAGCCAAACATTTTTTCAGAAATTTAAAAGTAGCCAAACACAATATTAACCCCACATCCAAACACCTCCTTTCTTCCTCAACGCCTCCCCTGCCAGCCTCACTCCTCTTTGCTTCTGCCATGGTTTCATCACCAGAACCCTCGTCTTCCCAACGCCTTCCGAGAACCTCGTCTCATCCGCTGGCGCAACTCACTTCTCCTCCATCCTTCCTCTGTCGATTCCACCCCATAATCCTCCTATTCTTTATCGTGGAACACATGCCCGCACCCTGTCGTCATCGTCGGAATCCCCATCACACAAACTTTCTCGAAATTTCACGGAATAATTTCAACCCTCAATCCTTCATAGGGTTAGCAAGATGGATCTGATCTGTCATGGGTTTGGTGAAATTTGAGGGGGTGGAGCTGATGGCTTCGGGAGAACGGAGAGGGAGGTGATGGAGGGAGGGGAGAGAGAAAATGGATGTTTGGATACAAGTAAAAGAGAGGAAATAGTGTGTTTGGTTAGTAGGATAGTAGGAGTTTGGAAAGGGGTTCATTTGACAGGTGTTCTAAATTCAGTAGTCCACATAAGATGGTATTTGGGTACTCCCTAGAGTACCCATGTAGACCTGGCATTTTGAATCCGACCCGTTAATATTAGTATTTGGGTGAATACTTAATGGGTCGGGTTGCAAACGGGTCAACCTGTTGACTCGTTAACACCCTTTAGTTGAAGATGTTTTAGTAATTTCAATAAAGTCTTAACAACAAAATATAAACTTTATGCCAAATAAAAAAAAATTGTTAACGGGTGAAACGAGTAACCCTTTAGCTTAACGAGTCGGATTTAAATAATTTGTTAGTTTAACGGATCGGGTTGAATCCAACCCAAACTCAATAAACCCGACCCGTTTACAGTTCTACATGTATTATCCCTCCCGGCGCTTCTTCTTCACGAGAAAATGCCAAGTTTTCCTTGCATGATGACCTAAATACCCCGTAGTCAGTGAGGTTTAGGGCCCCACCCTGGAAAATCTTGGTGTTTTGGATTGACGTGGATAACGACTATTAAAGTAAACACGTTTCAAGTAGGATACGTATGCTCTCTGCCACTCACAACAATTCACCTTCCACCACCGCCCCCAACTCCCTCTCTCTCTCTCTCTCTCTCTCTCTCTCTCTCTCTCTCTCTCTCTCTCTATACACACACACGCATATATATATATATATATATATAAACTCACACATCCCATCTCTCCAACTTACTAGAAAACGAAGATCAGAGTTTTCGAGAATCCTCTATCTCTGTTTATCGAAAACGGATCGTTTTGAGAAAAAAATTCTGAGAGAGAATCGATAAGAGGTATCAATGGTGTCGGAACCAAGCATAACACCGAAGCTGTCGCTGTTCTCGCTTCCTTCCCAGCCGCCGGAGTCGCCGGGGATGCTAACTCCGCCGCTCCAAACCTCCGCCTCGGTTCCATTCCAGTGGGAGGAAGCTCCAGGAAAGCCGAGGAACTGCGGTGGCAGCGCAGAATCCAAACCCAAGTGCGCCAGATCCTTGGAGCTGCCTCCGAGGTTGCTGACGGAGGCGGCCAAAACTACCAACATGACCTCCCCGACCACCATGTTGGACGAGCCTGACGTTGGGCGGACTATGTCGTTTTCGTTCAGAGTTAGGAGCCCTGATGCTTTTGGGATCAGTAAGAGGTTGAGCAAGGAGAGTTGTAGTAGGGGCGCCAGCGGTTTTGGGTCTATGAGGTGGGGGAGTTTTAGGAAGAGCAAGGAGGTTGTTGACCATGGCGGCTTTGACTTTTTGCCTCCGGCTAGTGGCGGCGGTGGCGGTGGTGAAACGAAGGTGAATATCACAAGAGTTGGGAGGAGAGCCGGTTTCTTGAATGATTCCAACACAAGGTCACGTATGTGGGTAAGTAACCAAGTATTCGTATGATGAATTTGAGTCAGTTTTCCCAGTGTTGTTAGAAACTATAACAAACAAACAATATATTGATATAATGTTTTTACCTGTGTTGATTGCTAGTTACAAATATAGCTGAAGTCTTGTGATATTTTTTTCTCTTAACAAACGATATTATCTATATTATTTTTTTTTTCGGACTTATGCATCTTTATCAACAAAAAAAAAATTAAATCAATAGGTCAAAGTATAACATAATACCATATAATAATCATCTCTTTGTGGGCAAATGTTTGATGTCACACTCTTTGATTTTTAATTTCTTCATAAGATTAAAAATGCTTATCAAATGTTGGAAATTTTGTTAATGTGTTAGAAACACAACCCAAAACACTAAGTATCATAATACAATTGGTTGAATTTTGTTTTTTTCAAGTTTATAATCAATTATATTATAACACTTAGTGTTTCAGGCCGTGTTCCCGACACATTAAAAAATCTCTCTAAATGTTAGCGTTGTGCGCATTATCTTCCCATTCTCTGCTAAATTAATACTTGTAATGACGATTATTTTAAAATTCGTTACTTTTCTTTATTCGTTTAATTGATTACAAAATAATCACATATGGTATTATATTGTAATCAATTACCTAAATGTGATATTTGTGATTCATAATTGCTAAGCTCACAATGTCACAGCCCGTCCCAGAGTTACTAAATACCGAGGACGTGAAATTACTAAAACGCCCTTAAACGGGATTAAGGTGCGTAAATTTGGTATTTGTTTTACACTAAGATCCTAAACTAGGGTTAGAATTATATTAGTATGTGTTAATTTAATTTGTGTTTGGACTTAGGGTGGGGTCCTACCCCCTAAATCCCTCCCCAAAACCCGTGGGATGTCTCTCTCTCATCTCCCTTCACTCTCTCTCTCTTTCTTCATTTCAGTATCACTCTCTCTCTCTTACTCTCGAACTCTCTCTCAAGCTCTCGGACAAACACCAAGAACAATCACAATCCTACACCAAACGTCCGATCTAAGATCACCACGACACTCCTTAGGACCTCACGAGCACGGGAATACCAGTTTTTAGGTAAGTTCTATTTCTGAAATCCTAGTTTTAAAACACCCGTGTAATGGCACTGTTCACGAACTTAATTTTGGTTGTGTTTTAGGTTAAACAAAGATCACCACGAGTCTTAGGAAGTTCCAAGGAGGCTCGGAGTGCCTCGTTTGAACAAAATGGACGTCGGGATCGTCGGGTTCGAGTTTGGCCGAAATTGAAGAATTTTGAAAGGTTTGATCTTGTTGTTTTTAGGCCTTAAAACCCTTCCAACGTGTTAGTACATGTTAAATGCTTCATTTTGGTATAAAATGCGAAGAAATTGGTTGAAAAACGAAGGAGAATAGTGGATTTGAAAATTTTCCAGAAACCGGCGAACAGTCGCCGGCGACCGGCGACTCGCCGGAGAAGACAGGGAATATTCCGTCAAAACTGACGGAATATGCCAACGCCGTTACCGTTACCGTTGGATATTAACGGAAAATGCTAGGATTTAACGGAATATTCCCTAACGCCGTTCACTGTGCCGTCAGTGTGCCTGGCACGTGGCTGCGCGTGGGCCGCGCGTAGGTCCGTGCCACGTCAGGCGCGTGGGGGCGCGTGAGGACTCCAAAAATTATTTTAAAAATATGGGGATGATCCTGAGGTTGTGTAGGTCACTGTGGTATATTCATATACCCAATTTGAGCATCGTATGAAGAATTTATTACCTAGTTTGGTTTAGGTGCGTTATTTGTGCGTTAAATGATTGTTTTAAGTTATTTCACTTTTAGGTGGAACCTTTAACGAGGACGAGCACATCCAGGGGCGTCAAGGGGGTTACGACCCGGCGACATACCAGTGAGTGGGCATTGCTTTCTATATATATACCTATATACTCGATTTCCCCAGAAATCAAATTTAAATGAAAAGTATATTGAAATGAAATATGATGTGATTGCCATGCATAGAATGTTATGGATATTATGAACTGTCGTATGATGCATATATGTATGATGGTGCTGTGGACGCACAGGTAAGTATTTAATTACTGTTATGTTGAGGATGATGATATATTGAGCTCATATCCTGCACCATGGTTTAGTGCTTATAGTATTCACCGCATCGCACGCTCGCCTTGGATCCAAGTAGATGCTGGTCGTACAGTCCACGCGGAGTGGGTACGACGGGCCAGTCGTAGAGTGTTAGTGAGATTATGACTGGTGGGTGACCTTAGGTTATTGTATACAGATGATTGATGAGAGAAGCACTAGAGCGAATATTACCATGAGTCGTTCAGACTACATTAGGTGGTTCCGACTTATGTGCAGAAGGCCGGACAGGTCACGCGGAGTGACTCCGGCAGAGAGTGAGATTGATAGATGTTGAGCTCTAGGTTCAATCGTTCAGGGCTATTAGAGGGCCTCCGATTGATTATTTCTTTTACCTGATTATATTATGTTAATGCATTCATACTACACTGTTGAAATTGGCATGGTACATTCTTTATTGAATCTGTTATAAGTTTGATGATTGAGACAGTTGAGATATATATGCTATATACTATTTTTCTGGGAAAGTATACAGGTTTTCCAAAAAGGGGTTATAAATGTGGATTTATGAAATGTTTTGGAAAAGCTTTATTTTCGCCCACTCACGTTTTCTGTTTTTCGCCCCTCCAGGTTCTAGTTGATAGTTGAGGCGTTGGTGGCCTACGAGACTGCTTCGGCGTTCTGACAGACTAAATAAATGTAGGATTCACCCGAGGGTGTTGTAAATTAGTTATGTTCCTACTTGACTGCACCTAGATGCTTATGCTCTGTTTATGTGTGTTTAGTACACTCTTATGCACATAGAATGCTCGGTTGTAAATAACTGCAATTAGTGGTTTTCGTTGACTCGTATTTTATTATTAAATCGTTTCCGCTTGCGTTATGGTTACGTCACACTCACGTGACGGCCAGCACGTCCTAGTCTTCGGGTTAGGGTGTGTCAGTTTGGTATCAGAGTATAGGTTGCAGTCCTGTATAACTAATGAGTTCTTCTATTGATTTTGTTATGTTTTCTGTCAGAATTATGCCGCCTCGTAGAGATCCTCGCCGTGCTGCTGAGCCTAATTTCCCCGATATAACTCAGTTAGGGGCAGCAATGGCTCAAGCTTTTCAGGCTAATATCCGTCCTCCTCAGAGAACGCCCGTAGAGACGATGTATAATCTGAAACTGGAAACTTTTGAGGGAAATGAAGGTTATGAAGGGGCAGAAAAGTGGTTGGATCGAATTGAGCAGACCTTTCAAGTGATGCAAAGTCAGGGAAACCTGCCAGCTAATAGATGGGTGGAGACCACCACCTGGTTTTTGGGCCGTGAGCCAGCTGCGTGGTGGATAAATCAGTCGAGGCACATGACACCTGAAAGGGCAGCCGAATGGGAGGTATTTAAGGAAAATTTTATGAAGAGATTTGTTCCTCCGGAATATATAGATCGCAAGAAACAGGAATTCACCAGTCTGAAGCAGAGGAATATGTCTGCACATGAGTACCATCCGGGTCGTGCAAATGTGGTAGCTGATGCTCTGAGTAGGAAGCCTCAAGGGCGACTTAATGCTTTGTATACCAGTCGTGTTCCTCTTCTGGCAGAGTTGAGATCTACTGGAGTAGAATTAGAATGGGAAGAGCAAAGTGAAGCTTTTCTTGCCAATTTTCAAGTCAAGCCAATTTTAATTGATCGGGTGCTTGCAGCTCAATCGTTGGATGAAGAAATTCAAGAATTGATCAATTTAAGAAATGAAGGGAAGAAGAAAGATCTCAAGATCCGAGGATCAGATGGTATGCTTATGCAAGAGAACAGGATGTATGTGCCTAATAATGAGGAACTGAAGAAAGAAATCTTGGATGAAGCACATTGTTCGGCTTATGCTATGCACCCAGGAGGAACTAAAATGTATCATACCATTCGACCATTCTACTATTGGCCGGGTATGAAGAGGGAGATTGCGGAGTATGTGAGTAGGTGTATTGTCTGCCAGCAGGTTAAGGCTGAAAGAAAGAAGCCGTTTGGGAGATTGCAACCACTTCCCGTTCCCCAGTGGAAATGGGAGAATATAACGATGGATTTTGTGTATAAGTTGCCACGTACACAAAATGGTTTTGATGGCATTTGGGTGGTTGTAGATCGACTTACCAAATCAGCACATTTTATTCCAGTAAGGGAGAAGTACTCTTTAAATAAGTTGGCTCAGTTATTCATATCGAAGGTTGTAAAGTATCATGGTGTCCCAGTGAATATTATTTCTGATCGAGATCCAAGATTTACTTCTAAGTTTTGGATAGCTTTTCAAGAAGCTTTGGGTACTAGATTGCTTTACAGTACAGCTTATCATCCACAGACAGATGGTCAGTCAGAGAGAACTATTCAGACACTCGAGGATATGTTGAGATCCTCTGTGATGCAATTTGGTGATTCTTGGCATGATCGTTTGGATTTGATGGAGTTTGCCTATAATAATAGTTTTCATTCGAGTATTGGAATGTCTCCATTTGAAGCACTTTATGGTAAAGCTTGCCGTACGCCATTATGTTGGTCAGAGGTTGGTGAAAGAATACTTGAAGGGCCAGAGATTGTGGATGAGACTACTCAGAATATTCAGGTAATTAAATCTAACCTGAAAGTGGCCCAGGATAGACAAAAGAGCCTAGCGGATCGACATACCACGGACAGAATGTATAATGTGGGCGACTATGTTTTTCTGAAATTATCGCCTTGGAGAGGTGTAGTTCGCTTTGGAAAGAAAGGAAAGCTAAGTCCCAGGTACATTGGACCTTATGAGATCACTGAGAGGATTGGTGAAGTTGCTTACAGGTTGGAGCTACCTCCAGAGTTGTCTAAGGTACATAATGTGTTCCATGTCTCGATGCTTCGGCATTATGTGTCAGATCCTTCACATGTGATTCCTCCTCAACCATTGGAAATTAATCCGGACTTGACGTACGATGAGGAAACCAGTGACTATACTGGATTGGAAAGATAAGACCTTGAGGAATAAGACCGTGAGCTTGGTGAAAGTATTGTGGAGAAACCATTCAGCTGAAGAAGCTACTTGGGAGACAGAAGATCGGATGAGAGATATGTATCCGAGGTTATTCTATGACTTTTGATGTTCTGGTTAGTGATTGGAATTTCGGGGACGAAATTCTATAAGGAGGGGAGATTGTCACAGCCCGTCCCAGAGTTACTAAATACCGAGGACGTGAAATTACTAAAACGCCCTTAAACGGGATTAAGGTGCGTAAATTTGGTATTTGTTTTACACTAAGATCCTAAACTAGGGTTAGAATTATATTAGTATGTGTTAATTTAATTTGTGTTTGGACTTAGGGTGGGGTCCTACCCCCTAAATCCCTCCCCAAAACCCGTGGGATGTCTCTCTCTCATCTCCCTTCACTCTCTCTCTCTTTCTTCATTTCAGTATCACTCTCTCTCTCTTACTCTCGAACTCTCTCTCAAGCTCTCGGACAAACACCAAGAACAATCACAATCCTACACCAACGTCCGATCTAAGATCACCACGACACTCCTTAGGACCTCACGAGCACGGGAATACCAGTTTTAGGTAAGTTCTATTTCTGAAATCCTAGTTTTAAAACACCCCGTGTAATGGCACTGTTCACGAACTTAATTTTGGTTGTGTTTTAGGTTAAACAAAGATCACCACGAGTCTTAGGAAGTTCCAAGGAGGCTCGGAGTGCCTCGTTTGAACAAAATGGACGTCGGGATCGTCGGGTTCGAGTTTGGCCGAAATTGAAGAATTTTGAAAGGTTTGATCTTGTTGTTTTTAGGCCTTAAAACCCTTCCAACGTGTTAGTACATGTTAAATGCTTCATTTTGGTATAAAATGCGAAGAAATTGGTTGAAAAACGAAGGAGAATAGTGGATTTGAAAATTTTCCAGAAACCGGCGAACAGTCGCCGGCGACCGGCGACTCGCCGGAGAAGACAGGGAATATTCCGTCAAAACTGACGGAATATGCCAACGCCGTTACCGTTACCGTTGGATATTTAACGGAAAATGCTAGGATTTAACGGAATATTCCCTAACGCCGTTCACTGTGCCGTCAGTGTGCCTGGCACGTGGCTGCGCGTGGGCCGCGCGTAGGTCCGTGCCACGTCAGGCGCGTGGGGGCGCGTGAGGACTCCAAAAATTATTTTAAAAATATGGGGATGATCCTGAGGTTGTGTAGGTCACTGTGGTATATTCATATACCCAATTTGAGCATCGTATGAAGAATTTATTACCTAGTTTGGTTTAGGTGCGTTATTTGTGCGTTAAATGATTGTTTTAAGTTATTTCACTTTTAGGTGGAACCTTTAACGAGGACGAGCACATCCAGGGGCGTCAAGGGGGTTACGACCCGGCGACATACCAGTGAGTGGGCATTGCTTTCTATATATATACCTATATACTCGATTTCCCCAGAAATCAAATTTAAATGAAAAGTATATTGAAATGAAATATGATGTGATTGCCATGCATAGAATGTTATGGATATTATGAACTGTCGTATGATGCATATATGTATGATGGTGCTGTGGACGCACAGGTAAGTATTTAATTACTGTTATGTTGAGGATGATGATATATTGAGCTCATATCCTGCACCATGGTTTAGTGCTTATAGTATTCACCGCATCGCACGCTCGCCTTGGATCCAAGTAGATGCTGGTCGTACAGTCCACGCGGAGTGGGTACGACGGGCCAGTCGTAGAGTGTTAGTGAGATTATGACTGGTGGGTGACCTTAGGTTATTGTATACAGATGATTGATGAGAGAAGCACTAGAGCGAATATTACCATGAGTCGTTCAGACTACATTAGGTGGTTCCGACTTATGTGCAGAAGGCCGGACAGGTCACGCGGAGTGACTCCGGCAGAGAGTGAGATTGATAGATGTTGAGCTCTAGGTTCAATCGTTCAGGGCTATTAGAGGGCCTCCCGATTGATTATTTCTTTTACCTGATTATATTATGTTAATGCATTCATACTACACTGTTGAAATTGGCATGGTACATTCTTTATTGAATCTGTTATAAGTTTGATGATTGAGACAGTTGAGATATATATGCTATATACTATTTTTCTGGGAAAGTATACAGGTTTTCCAAAAAGGGGTTATAAATGTGGATTTATGAAATGTTTTGGAAAAGCTTTATTTTCGCCCACTCACGTTTTCTGTTTTTCGCCCCTCCAGGTTCTAGTTGATAGTTGAGGCGTTGGTGGCCTACGAGACTGCTTCGGCGTTCTGACAGACTAAATAAATGTAGGATTCACCCGAGGGTGTTGTAAATTAGTTATGTTCCTACTTGACTGCACCTAGATGCTTATGCTCTGTTTATGTGTGTTTAGTACACTCTTATGCACATAGAATGCTCGGTTGTAAATAACTGCAATTAGTGGTTTTCGTTGACTCGTATTTTATTATTAAATCGTTTCCGCTTGCGTTATGGTTACGTCACACTCACGTGACGGCCAGCACGTCCTAGTCTTCGGGTTAGGGTGTGTCACACAATATTTAATTAGTATTTTTGCCTAAAAATAATAATTAGTATTACTTATTTTTTATTTTTTATTTATAATTGCAGGCAAGCATTTGCGAAAGCTTTAAGCAGGTGGTCCCATGGAGACGCAGGCAAGAAAAAATGAGAAAAATGGCCTCCTAAAGAAAGCCCTTCGCAACCGTTGGATCAACCCGATCCGACGATCCATTTCCTACCTGTTGAAAAATTTGTGTAAATATATCAGAAAATTGAAAATAGTGAAATTAGTCTAAAATTCATAAGCTTCATTAGTCTTCTATAACCCTCTATAATTGTCAGTGTACCAACAATTTGCTAACCTTATCAAAACTTCTGAGCATCTACTCTAATTTTTTTTTTGTTAAATTAATTACTTAACTTTTTCTCGTCATAAATTTTCTTATTTAGGAGTTAAACTTCTCTAACGCTTATGCTTGACTAATCATGTAATAAGAGAGAGAAAGGGTATAAAGCAACAAGAGATAAGTAATTAAAGACAGATATATTTTAGGTGAGAAATTCAGTTCAAACTTAGGAATGAACGACATATGGTCAAACAAAAGCAGGAGATTAGCGTGTATGTCAAGCGTTTTTACATCTAACGGAAATTATCATTCTACACCTAAAAGGAAATGGTAAATCCATCGCATCTACCAGCACAAAAGCAGTCAGAAACTACAGTGATGTATGGTATAATTTTTTGGTTTAGCAGGTGGCATTGATATTTATTTTTATTTTTATAAACAATAGGATAATCTGCACTAAATTCATCTAAACTACATGAAGGGAATTTGTATATATGACCTCAAGTACATGGGCAAATGCTCTCATCCAACTGAGCTACATTGACCACAACATCAAATTAGCAAAAGAATGAAACGCAAATTCTAGGTCCCTAACATCAAGCAAGGAAACGGGTCGTACCCAGTGCACAAGGCTCCCGCTTTACGCAGGGTCTGGGAGAGGTGAATGTCGGCTAGCCTTACCCCCATTTATGGAGAGGCTGCTCCCAAGTCTCGAATCCGAGACCTACCGCTCATGGGCGAACAAAAAAACAATACCTAGGCACATAGTTCAAGATCACATCAACACAAATTAAGCTTTTGACGCTTTTGAATCGAAAAGATGCCAATCTCGTCAATTGTCCCGAAGATGTGGGATTCACTCTCATAACATGTTGTACCCATATAACATGTCCTGATTTTCTCATCTATTCTATAATTTTGTGCATATAAGCTAAAGCCAGACTAAATCATGGACCCGCAGTCAAACACCAAGTCCTCTTCTTCTTGTAGTTGGCTTTGAAGCAAGCTTGCCTCAGCCTCTTGGCTCTCTCCGGCAACTCCATGTCCGGCAGCTGCTCTAGAATCCTCTTGTGCTCCTCCAGCATCCTCAGCTCATCCGTCAATCCCATCCCCTGCATCATGCATTTCAACAGTCAATCCCTACACTATTATAACTTCCCAAAACAAAACTTATCATCACAGTCATACGAGTCAAGCATCATCGATCTATTTTCGAGTCATTCTTATCGCATCACATGTTTCTTAATATGTAGGATATATCGGAGATTTTTTAAGTCCTAAAAAGCAATTTCAAACCCCCTTTTAACATTTGGTCCATAAACTAAGTAATCTCGCAATTGCATCATTGAAACAAAGGAAACCTAGTCACCGTTTAAAGAAATATATTGAGGAAAACCCTTTACAATATATCTCTCGTCACATGACAAGTAAAATATACTAACATGAAACTATACTACCATGACACCGAAATCTTTCCCGTTTCGAGGGGAAATTGGTAGCATTGGACAAAAAAGGAACTACAACTAGGCTTTAGTTTCAATCATTAGCATAGAATATTTGACATATATAATACAAAATTCCAATAAATTAGGAGGAAAAGGCACTAAATATCATATGACAAGTTGACAACATGAACATGCAAACGTACCTTAACATTTTCAATGAGAGCATTCAAGCTCCTGAGCTTTCTGTGCGGCCACCTCATGATATTCAGTTCCCTGCACCTCCTCTTCAAAACCGTTAATCCCACCTTCAATTCCTTGGCCGCCTGAGTTATCGGCACGTCGAAATACTTCTGAATCTCGTCCAATTCCAATGGAGCAGCAGACATTCTCTTAGAGCAACTCCCATTTTTTGTCATGCCTTCCCCATCGTGTTTCCCCCAACCTTCCATCCCCCAATCAAGCATCCTGAAAACATCACCCGAAACACTGTTCGAACAGACGATGGATTCCGCCATTGTTGTCAGGGGATTTTCATCAACCACCTCGTAATCAAAAGGTGATGGAACAGCAGCATCGTCCAAAATATAGTCCCAGATGCCTAAATCCTCAAAATCTTGAGAACCCATTAGTGGAAGTTGGTTGGAATTGTATTGCAACGGCAATGGGGGTGAATTACACCGATTGAAATTTTCAAGCCGTAGACTTTCTAACGCAGCACTGCAAAAGTAAAAAACCCATGTTCTAAAATTCATGTAATAACCATAAAACATATACATACACACAAACACACACATATATATGGCACTGTTCAAATGAATGGAAGATCAAAAGGCAAAATTAAAAAGTATATATGTTTTGATCATCTTACTTTTGATCCTGACATGGGTCTTGGTAGTACTGTATGGAGGAGTTAAACTCATCATGTGGGTCGGTCTCAATTTTTGGAACCAGAAGTTGGGAGAAAATGGAATCCGCCATTGGAGAGTGTTTTGGAAAGCTTATAGAATATCAGAAAGAGAACTAACCAGAAAAGACGAGAGCATAAATTTGATTAAATCGGGAAGGAGAGATGGGATGAGAATTGAAGTTCGTGCAGACGCTCTCAAAAGGGGTACTTATGAAATGGGAAAAATTTAATTTGTGAACAATTACCAATCACAAAAGGGAGCCGCACCGTGCCTAATTATGAATTTAATGTTTAAGAATAATTGACTTGCTTATGGCTTGATTATGAATTTGAGTGTTGTATATTAGTAATGGGAATGATTTTGATACCGAATGTGTACGTAACGTGAATGATTTGATATCAAATTTGTAGGTAATGTGGATGAGTTTGATATCGAATGTGTAGATAATGTGGATATATACGTTTGGATACCTATCGCAGAGGTGATGGTCCGTGTATGCATGTGGAGGCATGAAGGGTAGCAATTTTACAATGCATGCATAAACAAATGGGGTGCGTTTTGGCTCACAACACTTAAGTGTCTCAAGTGGTGGTAATGCTCACCACTCTATTTATCACCGATGAATTAGTTTAAATTTTGAGATCTGTGTCTATTAATATACAAATCTCAAAATTTATATTTATCTAATAATAATAAATAAAGTGGTGAACATCACCATCACTTCAGTGTGGTAAGCAAAAATATTCTCTAAATAAATGTATGAACATACATGGCCCAAAGAACCAGAAATTTTGACGAGAGGATAGTATGGGAGGTTACTGAACGATTAACGATGTAGTGGACATTAATTCACATTAAAATTTGCTTACTACGATTCTATGGTAAGCTGTGAATTAATTAATTAATTACGGGAGTTTGTGAATTAAGAGGGAAGCTGTGCCACATAGGAGACGTCCTCAAACCCCACTTTATTGGAGGTTTTTTACTTTTAATTTTTCATTTACAGGACACACTACGACATTGACGTAGATTTAACAGGTGTAAGTGTACGGTTTCACTTTTAATAATGTCCAAGCCTTTTGTTTAAAACCCCCACATCTGCCGATTGAGAGATGTAATATCCAAGTTGGGAGACAATATCGGTAAGACAATTTGGTTGCTAAAGCTCCAAATGCAATTGCAAGTATTACCTCTTAAAATGGTCTTCTGATTTCCTTGCTAGCTAACGCCAGGAAGGTACCATCCAGTTACCAACAGTATACCAAATGAATTATAAAACCATGCAAGCAAATTTAAGCAAAGTCTATGATGATCGAGCTTGAAACCGAACAACGTTTCAGCGAAGAAACTTACGAATCCACGACGAACGTTCAAAATTCATAACCGATCGAGAGACTTAAACAAGTCATGTACTTTTCTGGTTTCGCAAAGAACGCAATTAGACAAACGACTGTTGAGTTTGGCCGGCCAAGGAGATTGACTAACATTCAGACATTGCCTTATACAAAACACTTCACAGAAGTTGGTGCACTCAAACAAAATGCAAAAGTGCTACTCTTAACACATTTTCCGTACCATGTTTGTAAGTGGTTCAACAATATCTCCATGCTAATGCCGGAGGCTGTCGTTGATTCATTTGTTCCACACATAACTAGTTTATTAGCTGTTTTTACTCGGAATCATTTGAATCAGCTGGCTTCTCAACTAGCATGGGCCTACGACGATCACTATTCCGTACATGATTAAGTGCATTAGCCGCAGAACGCAAGGCATCTATGGCGGAACCTAGAGCTGGGGAACTACCACCGGCCTCGGCCAGTGAATCTTGCAACCTATTCTCCTCTTTCCGCAGAGACTTTCCGAGTTTTTTCTTGCAATAGCGCCGCCAAGCTTCTTGTATATAACATGCTCCCCAAGCTCTCCACTGCCGTGATTAAAACCTAAATGTGTGCTGTGCCCGCTTGCCAGCAGACCTTCTGAACTGGCTGGCTACAAACTTCAGGTCCTCTGCTTTTAAAGTAAACGCTTCAACTTCACAACAAGCACGGGCAGTTCGTGGAGTTGGGAAGATTAAACAATGATGCGCTGGGATCAACAAACCATGTGAGAAGTTCTTCGCAACAGAAGTCACCAACCTTGAGATCTGCAGAACTGGAGTGCCTTCCATCACTCACGGTCGTACTCAATACCGTACCTCGCATTATCAACACCAACGATTCCACTGGATCTCCTTCCCGACACTTACACTAAACAGACTCAGTCTCGATGATGCTCACGTCCCTTTGTTTTGTTCGGATATGTAAGTTACGAAATTCTAAATGAAAACTGATCATATTGGGACAATTGAAAGGAACTCACTTTAAGGATTGCACCCATGCAAATATATCGCTTCATATCACTCCTGAGATCCCTGGGAAGACTCAGAAAAAAATTCGCCATGCTTACTCCTGTGTTTTCTTGCCATCGGTCTCTTTGGATTGCACCCATGCAAACATATCGCTTCGTATCACACCGGCATGATTTTTACATGCTTCACTCCAGCAAGTTACGTTCCTTTCTATAGAAAACAAATACCAAAAGGCTCCGACAACCTACAGCGCCAACAAAGGATCGTCAGAATCTGCACAAATTTCCTAATTATACATTGGTGCAACAATTCTGCAAGAAAACATGGGAAATGGTTACGGGACTTGCATGACTAGCGAGCATGTATAGAAAGAGATTAACCCATGCAGTTCCAGCGAGGATGCCCGAATTACTTGTAACTTTTTTCAATAAGGAACATATGCGAAGGAACCTCAGCACATATTGAAAGACAACTATGAAGTTCAATGATTTTGTTGCACCCAAAACCCTTGAAGCATTTAGTTTTGGAACAATAGCAAAAAAGAGGACCTGAACACATTGATGCAAAGCTAATGAGTCCACAAATGCAGTCATATAATATAACTAAGGGTGAAGGGAGATGAAATTCCTGACCTGTGGCAGTGGAAGAATCATAAATACGTCTGCCGGGAAGTAGAAGAACAAATATCTCCATGCAGTTGCCTGCATCTCTTTAACCAACCCAACTCTTCCAGAAGCTTGAGAAGAAGGACTCACAATAGCAGCACGGAATTGAAAAACCATATGGATTATATAAAACAAATCGACGAAGAACCGCAAAACAATGACTAGAGTCCCCAACTCTCTTAATAGAATCCATCAATATCCTCTTCAAACCCATGTCCCAAAACTCTAGCTATATTATGGAACTAATCTTTTTTAGCTTTTTTTCGGACAAACGACAGAATAATTATACTAAATTCATCTGACCGCCATTACCAGAAATCTTAATCTAGTAGTTATCTGCAGGGAGAAAGAAGACTGGATAAAATGCTCAAACCATAGAGAGAGAGAGAGAGAGAGAGAGAGAGAGAGAGAGAGAGAAGACGAAGACTTCAACTGCACCGGCCTTGCAAGTCAAGAAATGTAATTAGTGCAGGAACCTTCAATATTGAGCTCCTGTGGACCAGGACTTATCCTCATGGCTCTTTGTCAACCCCTCCTCGATTACCAATCGATAATCGAAGGCGACTGGATATGCGGGTGGATGGACGAAGGCGACTTAAGAATTCAGACAAGGATGTAAAAGGTGAAAGGGAAGGCTCTTATTTAGAGAACAACGAAATCGAGAGGCTCAGATGTGGCGTCATCCAATTGCTGCTAGATGCTAAGCAAGTACGATATCGATGGGCCAAAGGTAAAAAAATTTCAGTAAAACAAAAGAAAAATGCAATCCTTTCTCTCATATTCCGTAAAATGAGAAAAAAGAGTCGGACATTGCCATATACAACACACATTTTACAGAAGTTGGTACACTCAACAAAATGTGGCTCTCTACCATTACGCTGTTACACTTTTCTTCCTTTTTAACAGTTAAAACGGTTTCTCCGTTACATTTTACAACAAGAAGACGACCAATCATATAACTTAATCAAAACCTCTATATAGCTATTATTGCTCTTCAGCAGTAAAATCAGGCTCCGCCGGCTTCTGAAGTAGCATGGCCGGTAGTCTCTCTGGCACCCTCGCCTTCCGCGTACCACTACGCCGTATAGTACGCAGTATATTAGCAGCAAAACGTGAGGCATAAATGGTGGCCCCTAGACTTGGGGAGCTGACCCCAGCCTTGGCCAGTGCATCTTGCAGCCTATTCTCCTCTTCCTGCAGAGACTCTTCTAGCTTCTTCTTCATATGACGGCGCCACGCTGCTTGTATAAAAGTAGCTGCCCAAGTTCTCCACTGCTGTGAGTAGAACCTGAATGTGTGCCGGAGCTGCTTGCTGTGGAGTCGCCTGAACTGAGAGGCTACAAACTTCAAGTCATCCGCTTTTAAGGCAAAGGCTTCAACTTCACTGAGGGCTTGGACAGTTCTGGTCGAGATGGGAAGATTAGCTGATGTGTGGGGATCAAGAGCCCATGTCAAAAGTTCTTCGCCGCAAAAGTCACCGGCCTTGAGATATTCAGAGTTGAAGAAACCGGTTCTTCCACCATTCGTGGTCATAGTCAATAGTCTGCCCCGCATGATAAAGAGCATCTCATCCACTGGGTCTCCCTCCCTAACGATATAGCTTTCTTCTGTATATAGTACCGGCTTGAGACGGTCACACATTGCATCGAGCAGTTGTTCATCCATTTTCTCGAACATTGGCACCTTTAATGCAGTCAAGGAAAGAGTAAGAATCAATATCTAGTGGTTCGAATGCACATTAAGATGACAATAACAATGGTGGAGAAACTTACTCTCATAAGCAGAGCCAAACAGAGATGGCGCTTTATGTCCCTTCTAAGATCCTTGGGAAGATTACATATCAAATTCTCTTCATCAACACCTCTGGTTTCTTGCCATTTATATTGTTCATACCGCCTGATGCGCTCTCGCAAATTCTCAGGTAGCAAGCGGTGGGACATCCATTGTTCTGCATCTCTCCTTTTCACTCTCATTTCCTCCAATCGTGTGGTTGTAGATTGCAAATATGTCTTTCAAAAATTTAAAGTTCATCAGAACCTCACGACAGAAATAGAAACGATATGTCAATCCTGTAAAACTACAGGGACAACATTAAGTACCAACCTGCATATTTCCGATGAGAAATGAAAATAGCACCAACCCAGCGATAGAAATGAAGACTGCAAAGCAGATTTCCCATACATATGTACTGGTTGCAAGGTTCTGACCAAGTGAACTGCAAAATGAAAATATCAAGAATCAATACCAAATAAAGATACTGTATCAAGTATAAAATACTCGTTTTATAAGTTAACTCTACTGAGCTCATCATCAGAAGACCTTAAGAATGCAGACAAAGACAAGTTGTATAGGCACACCTCAAATTCCGTAGGCCCCACCAAAAGCAGTAAAAGAATTTCTGAGGAAAATCTGTGCTTGACTCAACAATACCAGATTGAAGGGCATCAAGGAATATTCCAAAATCAAACTGTGTTTTATCTTCATCTTGTATCGGGCAGGAAGAATTTAAGAATGTGATCTTACTAAAAGCATTCGAGCTCACGGTATCACAGTATAAATCCTTGTGCGAGCATATGGTTGTATTGTTCCCACATGCTGCTTTCCAGCACTTGGTTTCACGTTCTATAGAGAACAAGTACCAAAAAGCTCCCAGTACCTAAGAACAGCATATCACTTGAAACTCAGAAGATTCAAAGAAGAAGGACAATTGTATTGTTGCTATGAATATCATGATCAAACTTACATGACTGGCGAGCATGTAAAGAAAAAGATTAAATGCAGCTCCTGCCCAAGCAGTTTCGGTAAGTATACCAGAAGCCCTTGTGACTTCTCTATACAATGGATATATCCGTATAAACCTTGGAAAATACTGGAACAGAACAACAAACTTCAACAAATTCTTTGTATTCAACGTTTTTGAGCCTCCCAATTTTGGAATGAAAATTAGAATAACCACCTGGACATATTTCATAGTATCATTAGCGGTCCAAAGCGGAATCAAAATGATGCACAAACATTCTAATCTAAACAAGACATCAACTACCACTAACCACACTATATGCCGAATTTAAAGTAGCAGATACTACATACGATTAAGTAATATATGCAACACCAAAAGTATACACAATATTGGGCCAAAATGATTACACATCATGTGCAGAGAGAGTACAGATTGCGCATAAAGATACCCCTCAACCCGCCATATTAGATGAGTAATCGAACAGTAAATTAATGCACCTCATACAAAGTAGGAAGGATTAGCTTACTTGTGGGAGAGGAAGGACTGCAAGAATGTCAATTAGGAAGTATGATGAGAGATACCTCCTTGCAATAGCCCAAGCATCTTCAACTAAAACACCTCTTCCAAACACTCGAGAAGAAGGAGCAATAAATCCAGTACGAAACTGGAAAATTATGTGAACAATATAAAATATATCTGTGAATGAACGCAAAACACTAGCTGTTATCTCCATCTTCCTGTCCAAACCAAGACACTTCCTCTTATCATTGATCACAGGGATGTAAAAGAACAAGGGATCAAGGGAGACGGCAATAATACATGCCAATACAAATATCTTATTCCACTTCTGAAGGAATGGCCCTTGAGGATCAAGAACTCCACTACCAAAGCTGTTGCCAACAACACTGTCAATTGAATAAGATTTCCATGACTTCTTAATCCGCTCAGAACCAGATTCCAAGCTTCTTTGGAATTTGATTGACACCGAGTTAATCGTTCTTCTGAACTTCCCTGGTGGCATGTCATCATCTGGAGAATATAATGGCTCAACATTTTTCTCTGCAGTCCAATCCTCAAACCTGAAACAAGACATTATATTTCCAATTTAAATAACACACAAGGAGATTTCCAAGCATCTAGCATTACATACAACAGTTAAACATAATTCCGAATGAAAGGACAGGGACAGGGTGGTGGAATTATGTGCTAATGTGTGGACAGAAACAGTGAAATAAGTGATATTAGCAACAGTAGTGGCACATTATTAGCATCCCATCGCCACCGTGATATAAAACTCCCGGCAAGTACTTCATGGTAGAAGGACAACATAACATCAAAATCCTGACTTATTTGGCTACAAAAGCCAGGAAATTGCTGTATAGTTGCAAACTAGTCAACATAATATCACGTATGTCAGGTTATAGTACTAATCGTCAAACTAACCTGACGAACTTCTCTTGCTGAAAATTCATGACTACAACTTGTTTTCGATAGAATCTCCAAACGGAAAGTTAACCTCCGAATGTTTGAATAACCCGAAGAGCTTTCTCGTGCACCACCAAGTTCCCAAAAGCAGTCCCTAGACAAGATTCGAAGTGAAGCAAAATGAGTTCAACATAGAAACTTCTGTAATTTCACAACATGTTTCGTAGAATTACTCGCCTAAATGCGTTCATAAAAGGGGAAACTTTATCTGGAGTCCAAGAGCAATATCAAAGTGCTGTTTGCCCCAATTCAAAGAGCAGAAATCGCACTAACGCTAAATATCCATACAAAAATATCTTCATTTGAGCAATATCTCCCTAAATTTAGCATCCATTTTTTATCATACATTCATAAATTCATTGCTAACAACAAAATATAATCAAATAAATAAAAAATATGGTCACAAATGGACCAACAGGACCTCTTGCATTCAAAATTTGAACCAAAAGCCAAATAATTTCAACAAAAAATTGATATTTTTGGATTTCCAATTTCATATCCTTTCCAAAAAAAGACCAAAAAACTAAATCTTTAACATTCCAAAAACTAAAAATCCAATCTTTGGGGGAAAAACCATGTCACTGAAACCAAAAGAAAAAATGAACAAAAATAGCAAATTGAGGAAAACCCAACAACAAAAACTGCTGATATATAAGAACTCACCAAACAATAAAGTCTGAGAGCGACTAAGTGAACAGATTGTCCATGGCGGAAGAACCCAAACAGAAGCTTCTCCTTGTGATTATCTCCCAAGACCCAGATAGCTTTAATGCTCAATATTCAATCAGTGACAGAGAGAGAGAGAGGAAGAAGAAGCAAAAGAAGAAGAAGAAGACGAAGGTTCTCGGAAATGCGTAGGAAGTGAGTCAGTGGGTCTCCGAGTCAAGTGAGTCGAACACTCCGTCGTGATTAAATTGTAGATTTTGAGACGGGCGTTCGGACAGAGACGGGGAGAGAGAGACGGAGAGAGAGAGAGGAAGTCAAACAAAGCTTGTGATTAGGCCGATAACAAAGTCTTGTGGCCTGGGTCCCACTCCCGTGAACTAAAATATTTTGCGCTCTCTCTCTGCGGTACTATTCGCAACGGTGCGTACGTTCGCCGATGAGCGAAAAGTGAATTTGTGCCCGCGTGCTTCCCGGGAATATGGCTGCTTTTTATCTTTTTTTAATTTCCAGTTTCAACCGTTTTCTTTTTTTTTTCTTTTTTTTTTGGAATTTAGAATTTATGTTTTTTACTAGCCTCTCGCCAAACTCTAATGCCAATTTTCTTTTTTTAATTTATTAGTATTTTAAATATTTATTTTTATTTGAAAAATCTATGTTGGGTGGGGTTTTTTTCTTTCGATTGTTTTATTAATTTATCTTGATTTAATTAAAGTGTGGTGCTATTACAATTTTTTTTTTTACATTTTACACCGACTTCTCTAATCGGAACGAATAATTAAAAAGGATTAAAAGGCACAGATTAATAATGAGTACGTGAGAAGTAAAATAGGTGAGGTAGATAACGTCATGCTAACAAAATTGTTCTTTTTAGAATTTGTAAGAACGTAGGAGTATCATAAATTATCACTCCAAATCTCTCCCAATTATTTTTTGGCTTTCTATTTCTGAAATTGGAAAAGAAAATCCCACTTGAATTTTTTTCTTTCTTCTTTTGGTTATTCCAGAATAATATCTTTTCAATCAGGTTTGTACGTTTGAATCCAAAATTGTCTTCTTATTAAGCAATTATTACAAATATTTAGTATTTTAAATCCCAGTTGAAAAGTATTGCGTGAGCAATGTGGTTAGTCGATATTATAAACATTTTTGGTTGGAATTGTCGATAATTTGTATTCGAGAGAGCCACAACTCACTAATATGGGATTAGGATGCTCTTTGCATCTCTTTTATCTGGATTCGCCAGATCCTTTAATCATTTTCTTATTTCTTATCTTATTAATTTAATAAAAAAATAAAGCAAAAGCAGGTAGCGGTAATCGAACCCATATTGTTAGCGTGGAAGGCTAGGGGTAATAGTCAAAGTTGATTTATCATTTTTCACGTTTCTAATTCAAAATTGAACATGAAACTTTGGTTTCATTGGGCTCCTTTATAGAAAATTTATGAATTCCTAAGACATAAACGAAAAATAAATAAATTTCAGCCCATTTAACCGAAAATCAAACGGCCAAGAATTAATTTCTTATTCATCTTTTCCCATCTTCACCTTACTGTTGGTATTTTCTGATTCTGGTTCAAATTTTAGGGTAGAGCTAGATTAAGCTGCACCGTACCCACCCCTAACTAGTTGACTTGATTGGTTGACTTGTGAAGAATGAAAGTTCCTGGAGGTTTCTTTGACAATGCGTGTGTGAATTGGATCCATGGCCTTGGCCGGCTCCGCTGCTTCAACTTTTTGCTTCCAACTATTGCATTTCTTGGAACCCAACTCGTTTTCATGAAACCTTTCGGACACTTGATCATTTTACTTTTTTCTTCTTCCCTAGTTTTCGAGTCGTTTCTTTTCTTTATCCCGGCAAATAATCTGCTAGGTTAGAATTTGAGGCACTGGCAAATGGCCATGGAGGTTCAAATTCCGCGGTAAGCGAATGCTATCCTTTTTATGTTTGCCATTTTGAATTTTCAGGGTAAAAGTTCTAAGCCAGTTGCTGTTTGTAAATGTTGTATAATTCAGGCTACATCACTGTGACTTGGAAAAAAATGCTGCAGAAAAATTCCCAAAGAATATTAGGGAAGCACTGAAAAAATTCCCCAAGAAAAAGCATCTTGATTTACGGGAGTTCGTCCTGCAGAGGTGGAATCAGATAGTTTTAGTTTTCTGTGTTATCGCTCTCTCAACCGATCCTTTGTTCTTGTACCTCCTTACGGTTAACAACGAACAGAATTGCCTTACCCTGGACAAAACATTGGCGACCGTAACTGCGCTTCTGCGTTTCAGCATCGATTTCTTTTATATATTTCATATCATTTTTCAATTCCGTGCAAGCAATGTTGCTCATTCTTTTCAAGCCTCTCGACAAGGCGAATCGGTCGCAGAGACTCGGGCAAGAGCACGGAAATATTTGTTGATGTACCTACTACTCGACATGCTTATAATTCTTCCACTTCCACAGGTATGGAAAACCATTTTATATATAGTTGAGCTATAATATTTACAAGGTAGGCTAGCTTATAAGCTTGCTCTGATCTGTCCAGGCAGTGGCGGATCTATTAAGGAACCAAGGTGGTCCCAGGACCACCCAAAGGCTCAGAAAAGTGGCTATAAAAACCTTCAAGGAACACCCAAATCTGGGTTGTGGAGGAGGAGAAGAGCAGCCATGGCTGCCGAGCACCTTCTGCAAAACAGAAGGAGAAAGAAGATGACTTTTTCTTTCAAATTACTTGGCCAAAACGAGACCGTTTTGAGCCAAACCATTAAAAAAAGGACAATATTTAGACACTGACTAGTCACTGTAATGTTTTACTGACCACCAATAAATAAAAGACACATGTCAAACAACCAACTCTCTCTAAATCTATAACCAAACAACCAACTCTAACACTGCACCCATAACCAAACAACCAACTCTAACACTGCACCCATAACCAAACAGCCACCCTCTCCTCCTAAGCTTATGTTGCTGTCTGCCGCGAATCTCGTCTGCAAAAACCTCTGCTCCGCTAAGCCCTCCCTTCCGCCAAAACATCTTCCGTCGAACCCAGCCTTGCCCACTCATAATCCAACCCTCTCTTTGCCATGGAAGGACGTCTGCACCTACCCACTTATAGGTCGCGACTCACACCACCTTTCTCTCCTTGCTGCCATGGTTGCACGAGGAAAAAAATAGTGGATTTGGTATCATGGTCTGATTCGGGTTTGAGAAGTTAGGACCACCCTATACTAAAATCCTGGATCCGCCACTGTGTCCAGGTGCTAGTTTTTGCTGTCATTCCAAAAACTAAACATTCGAGGGCTTTCTTTGTCGCAAGTATATCGAAAAATATGTTTGTACTTCAATATCTGCTAAGGGTATTTCGAATCTGCTCCTCGTTAAAAGTAGCTCTAAGGGGTTCTAGCATCCTTGCCGAATCTGCATGGGCTAATCTCTTTCTTTTTATGCTTGCCGGTCATGTAAGTTCCATAACTATTTCTAATTCGGGTGATGCTTGAGAGACCATTTTGATATAAAGAAGGAATCCAACCATCAACCACCAATCATATGGTTTATAAAATATTGTTTAAAACAAAGATGGTCTCCTGTCATTTTCCTTTCTAATCAGTCCTTCGACATCTGAAACGCTTTTGTTGTTCTGTATACCAATTTTCTGGTTCTGTACGTAGGTTACTGGAGCCTTCTGGTATTTTTTTTCTATAGAAAGAATAACAAAGTGCTGGGGAGAAGCCTGCGAATATCATGGAGGTGCGCACTGTTATTTATTTTGCGATGACACATTTGCAGCTAAAGCATTCGCAGACGACTCTTGCTCTACAAACACAACGAATTCTGGAATATACTCTGATGCCCTTGAATCTATAGTTCTGGATTCAACTCCTTTTGTAAAAAGGATTTCTTACTGCTTCTGGTGGGGGATACAAAATCTAAGGTTATTACTTATCCAAATTATCCTACTATTGAGAGAATCTAAGGATTTCTTACTGCTTCTGGATTAAGCACTTTTGAGAATATCCTCTTATATGTTTAGTTGTATCGTGTTATTGCAGCTCCCTCGGCCAAAGCCTCAAACCCACAACTATCTACATATGGGAGATATACTTTTCACTTGTTGTTTCGATAACAGGCTTGGTGCTACTTGCAATTCTTGCTGGAAATCTGCAGGTTGGTGATAACCATTCCCTCCTAGTTCTTTATCTAATTATCAAATGACTGATTGCGCATTGGTTTATCAGATAATCTAATTTATCTGATAATCTATTGGTGTAAACCTGATGAGCAGCCTTTTGGTTATCACTTGTCACACAGAAATATGTGCTGTCAAAAATTGCAAGATCGGAGGAAATGAGATTAAAGAAACCAGAAATAGAATTGTGGATGTATTTCCACTCACTTCCTGGAAGTCTAAAGGCACGGATTTGGCAATCCATGAAACACAAACTGAAAGAAAATATACGCATTGACGTGGAGAATTTTCTTCACCTTCTACCCGTGGAACTTTGTAAGGATATAAAATGGCATCTCTGCTCAGGTCCACTCAGAGAAGTGCCAATACTTCAAACCATGGACGAACAACTGTTGGAAGCTATCTGCAAACATCTCACGCCGGTGCTGTACGCAAAGAACAGCATCATTTTTCATGAGGGAGAGCCACTTGCTGAGATGCTCTTCGTCACACGCGGTAAGCTATTGACTTACACCGCCTCTGCTACTGCTAGGGTAAGATTTCTTGGCAAAGGTGACTATTTTGGAGAAGAGCTTTTCGATTGGGTGCTGATCAACTGTGCCAGCTTATCTAACTTCCCCTTGTCAACTGAAACTGTCAAGGCGCAAACGGAAGTTGAAGTGTTTGTTCTAAGGGCGCAGCAGTTGAAGACGGTAGTCTCTAAATTCTGGTGGCTTTTCACCAAAGAGCAACGCCGCCACTCGAGCCTTAATACTAGCTTTAACGTGGAGCAATGGAAACCAAGGGCAGCTTATGCTTTGCAAGCAGCATGGCGTCGCCATAAAAAGGAAACCTCGACGGTGCGAAGGAGACGTTAATTATTGAGAAGCTCTCCATGGTGCTGCTACTTTGTAACAAGTAGATTTTATTTCTATATAGGGTTAAGTAAAGAATCATTAGTTATTCGCACAAGCACCTGAAGTTTCGTGTTTGAAACTCTCTTCCTGTGTTATAGGTTGGTTTCTCTCAAATCACACTGCTCATTATATGTCAACATTTGATAGACCATCGAGAATTTGCCCCATCAAAGTTTAGAAGTAAGAAGTATAACTTGAGTTACTCCATAGACGCCACAACCAGAGGATGATGAGCAATCGATAGAAATTGTACCAATAAAGTTATTCAAAACGTTGTTTTTCAGGTGCCTCGTACCACTAATTGATTTTAGGATGGATGCTCCCATGTATTTTAATGAGCTTTGCTCTCATAAGCATCAAAACACAAAAGAAACGGTTAAGATTTAACTAAATCTTAATAAGTTAAATCTCAATCCATCCCTTCCAAACACTCGAGAAGAAGGAGCAATAAATCCAGTACGAAACTGGAAAGTTATGTGAACAATATAAAATATATCTGTGAATGAACGCAAAACACTAGATGTTATCTCCATCTTCCTGTCCAAACCAAGGCCCTTTGGTACGTGGGACGAAACGGAACGGAGTAGGACGAGGCGTTCCGTCCCACGTTTGGTGCGCCTAAAACGGGTGGAACACGCTGTTCCACGGGACGAGGTTTGGGGGAATTTTCATTCTGCCTCACCCCCCTGGAACGACTCGTTCCACATCCGTGGAACACAGAATTATAACCTCTCAGTCTCCTTCTCCATTCTGTCCCGTCCCATCCCGTCATTTCTGCATACCAAACGAGAACAAGGGATCAAGGGAGACGGCAATAATACATGCCAATACAAATATCTTATTCCACTTCTGAAGGAATGGCCCTTGAGGATTAAGAATTCCACTACCAAAGCTGTTGCCGACAACACTGTCAATTAAATAAGATTTCCATGACGTCTTGATCCGCTCAGAACCAGATTCCAAGCTTCTTTGGAATTTGACTGACACCGAGTTAATCGTTCTTCTGAACTTCCCTGGTGGCAGGTCATCATCTGGAGAATATAGTGGCTCAACATTCTTCTCTGCAGTCCAATCCTGAAACCTGAAACATGACATTATAAATCTTCCAATTTAAATAGCAAGCAAGGAGATTTCCACGCATCTAGCATTACATACAACAGTTAAACATAATTCCGAATGAAAGGATAGGGGCAGGGTGGTGGAATTATGTGCTAATGTGTGGACAGAACCAGTGAAAGAAGCGATATTAGCAACAGTAGTGGCACGTTATTAGCATCCCATCGCCACCGTGATATAAAACTCCCGGCAAGTACTTCATAGTAGCAGGACAACATAACATCAAAATCCTGACTTTTTGGCTCCAAAAGCCAGGAAATTGCTGTGTACGTAGTTGCAAACTAGTCAACATGACATCATGTATGTAAGGCTATAGTGCCAATCATCAAACTAACCTGACGAACTTCTCTTGCTGAAAATTCATGACTACAACTTGTTTTTGATAGAATCTCCAAACGGAAAGTTAACCTCCGAACATTTGAATAACCCGAAGAGCTTCCTCGTGCACCACCAAGTTCCCAAAAGCAGTCCCTAGACAACGATTCAAAGTGAAGCAAAATGAGTTCAACATAGAAACTTCTGTAATTTCACAAGATGTTTCGTAGAATTACTCGCCTAAACACGTTAATAAAAGGGGAAACTTTATCTGGGGTCCAAGAGCATTATCAAAGTGCTGTTTGTCCCAATTCAAAGAGCAGAAATCGCACTAACGCTAAATATCCATACAAAAATATCTTCATTTGAGCAATATCTCCCTAAATTTAGCATCCATTTTTTTTCATACATTCATAAATTCATTGCTAACAACAAAATATAATCAAATAAATAAAAAAATATGGTCACAAATGGACCAACAGGAGCTCTTGCATTCAAAATTTGAACCAAAAGCCAACGAATTTCAACAAAAAAACTGATATTTTTGGATTTCCAATTTCATATCCTTTCCAAAAAAGACCAAAAAACTAAATCTTTAACATTCAAAAACTAAAAATCCAATCTTTGGGGGAAAAACCATGTCACTGAAACCAAAAGAAAAAATGAACAAAAATAGCAAATTGAGGAAAACCCAGCAACAAAAACTGCTGATATATAAGAACTCACCAAACAATAAAGTCTGAGAGCGACTAAGAGAACAGATTGTCCATGGCGGAAGAACCCACACAGAAGCTTCTCCTTGTGATTATCTCCCAAGACCCAGATAGCTTTAATGCTCAATATTCAATCAGTGACAGAGAGAGAGAGAGAGAGAGAGAGAAAGAGAGGAAGAAGAAGCAAAAGAAGAAGAAGACGAAGGTTCTCGGAAATGCGTAGGAAGTGAGTCAGTGGGTCTCCGAGTCAAGTGAGTCGCACACTCCGTCGTGATTAAATTGTAGATTTTGAGACGGGCGTTCGGACAGAGACGGAGAGAGAGAGGAAGCCCAACAAAGTTTGTGATTAGGCAGATGAACAAAGTCTTGTGGCCTGGGTCGCACTCCCGTGAACTAAAATATTTTGTGCTCTCTCCCTCTCTCTGCGGTTACTATTCGCAACGGTGCTCCGTTCGCCGATGAGCGAAAAGTGAATTTGTGCCCACGTGCTTCCCGGGAATATGGCTGCTTTTTATCTTTTTTTAATGCGTGCGACAATTTTTTTTTTTTAAATTATTGTTATTTTAAATATTTTATTTTTATTTGAAAAATCTACGTTGGGTGGAGTTGTTTTCTTTCGATTGTTTTATTAATTTATCCTGATAATTAAAGTGAGGTGATATTTACACATTTTTTTTTTTACATTTTATATGGACTTCTTGATTTTTAATTGTCCAACGAATAATTGAAAAGAATCAAAGGATATAGATTAATAAAGATTGGGGACTACATGAGCATCAACGTGTGAGGAGAGAGTCTAAAGTGGTGTTTGAAAATCAATGGATCGGGATGGAACACAATTAATGAGATACGCAACTGAGGTGAGGGCTTCTCCCCAATAGGATAATAGGAGATGAGCCTCGAGCAAAGAAGCACGAACAACCTCCAAAAGCTGACGGTTTTTGCGTTCTGCAACCCCATTTTGTTGTAGAGTATATAGGCATGTGGTTTGATGAACAATGCCATGATGATCAAGAAAGGCACGAAGGTCCGAGTTAACATATTCACCGTCATTATCACTCCTGAGAACCTGTATGTGAGACTTATATTATACTTGTACCATTTTATAGAACTGCTGAAACAAAGAAGGGACTTCTCTTTTGGACTTCATCAAACATACCCAAATCATACGTGTGCAATCATCAATAAAAGTAACGAAGCAATGAGCACCACCAAACGTAGCAGTTTTAGATGGCCCCCAAACATCAGAATGAATTATCATAAATGGAACTGAACTTTTATTCATACTGGACGGAAATGAAGTACGATGACTTTTAGCCATTTCACAAACACCACATTTAAAGTTAGAAACGTCATGCTTAACAAATAGTGACACGCCCCGACCCTGATATTCCCCGAATACTAGGATAGACACATGCTGGCCGACACCCGAAAGTGACAAAAGCCATTAATTGATACAAAAGCTAAGAATAATGAAATAAATAAGGGTTAGAAATTTGAAATACAATGAGTTAAAAGTTTTAGGAACGTGCTCAGAGCATACAACTAAACCTAATCACTAAAAGAATTAAGATAAAATTTAATGAATAAAGAAGTGGGTCCTACATCGAGAGGATTCAAATATGCTGCTGCGGAAGTGTCTTCACGCCGGGATTAGGTGCCTTGATTCTAAGTCCTGAATGGGGGCGCAAAACAAAGGTGAGTGGATCAAGTTTATATATATAATAATAATAAAACAGTTATCAACATACTAATCCTCAAAGTTTATATAATGAAAACTACTAGCATAATAAATGATGGATTTAATAAAAAGCCTAGCATGCCAAAAATATCTCAAAAGCCATATTGCGGAATCTCATCGCAGAAATCAAAACAGTAAACGTCTCATAAATCGTCTCGTAAGCGCGGTGTGCTGCTAGATAGATCACCGAATAAATATAACTCCCGGCCTAATGCCTGCACCTCTGTCTCTGTGCCCGTAGCCAGAGATAACTCTCTCCCGACCCAATGCCTGTCTCCGTGTCCCTCAGCCTTTCGCTAGGGATTATTTCTCCCGGCCTAAATGCCAACACCAAATCCTCGCCCCAGGCGGCATAGTGTCCACTAGGTACGCACAAATAGTTACGTCTCTCTTGAATAACCACTTCATAGCATAGGTTACCGATCATCGTCTACACTATAAAGAGGGGTTCAAAAACATGTTCTAGCATCCTATCGTCATCTATCAGATAGTCTACCAGTTCATGGTTTTTATAGAAAATATGATATATATTAAAATATGGCTCAATATAAGCTAACAATTATTTCCTCACCAAAACACGAGACGAAATCAATAAATTCAGTAAATAGGATTGATATAAATCAATTCACAAAATTCGTAGGCATGCTAATCATTTATGCAATTACTATAAAATCATGTAATTTTAGAAGGGGTCCACTCACAGTACTTAATTGTCAAAAGCTGCGCCACTAGCGAAGACGGAAACGTCACAATAATTGCGCCTAAGCACATAAAGAGTACAATAAATAAAACTATATAATAGCAATTGAATTTGGGAAAACGGACATTGGAAATGGATTCAGAACTTCGAATTACCCTAAGAAAGGTCCCAGACGAAAACCCGAAAAGTCAACCCTAAAGTCAACGTTGACCGGGGGTCAACGGTCAAATTAGGTCTAATGGGTTTTAGGCTTGAAATCCGGATTAGGGTTTAGGTTTAAATAAGATTAGGATTTATTGGGTTTGAACTAAATAAGGAAATTGAGTTGGATGGATGAGGCCCTAATAGATTTTAGAAACCTAGGGTTTTAGGGTTAAAATAGATTTTAGGGTAAAGAAATAAGGTTTGGGCTTAAGCCCAAACACATATATACCACCAAAAACACACACACATGCACTTAAACACACACACACACATCTAACCCTAAACACACACACACAAAGGCCCTAAGGCCTTATTAAAAACAAACAGGGCTTTAAGCCCTTTGAATTAAACCGGCCCAAGGCCCCTTCAAAAATTAAGGCCCGAGGCCTTTGGGTTTTGAAAACAAAATAACTTAAAAATAAAAAGGAGCGGGCTGGGTTACTGGGCTAGCCCAATTGGCTAAGGCCCGGGGGTTGTAATGGCCTGAAAGGCCTGGTTGCCGAGGAAGAAGGCCGGAGATTCGGCCGGAAAACCACCCAACTTTAAACGGCTATAACTTTGTCACTACTTAACTAAATCAAGCGAGACAAAAAGTAAAGTTGTAGCCCTTGAAGAGGCGAAGAGAATGATACCTCACACGACGTCTAACTCGCCTTGTTTTGGCCGGAAAATGCCTCGAAAGCCGTCGGACTCGCCGAAAACTGGGTAAGATTCAAATGAGTATAACTTTTTCAATACTCAACGAAATTGAGTGAAACAAAAGGGAAAGTTGTAGTGCTCAGGGAGAAGAAGAGATTGATACCTTTCACGCCGGCCAACTCGCCGTGGTTTGGCCGGAAATTGCCTCGAAAGGGGCTGTCTGCGTCGGAGCTGTCCGGGTTTTGCTGTCCTCGCAGCAACTGAGAGAGAGAACGAACTGATGATGATGATGATGACGCCTTTGACGTCGGAGAGGGTGGTGTGGTGATGGGTATGCTCATGGGAGGACGAGAAGGAGAGAGACGAGGGAGAGGGAGCTCAGGTGAGAGGAAGAGAGAGAGCTGGGAAAACACACAAAAATAAAACAAGGTGGGCCCCACGGGCTCACCAATTAAGGTTTTAAAATAATTTTTAAATGAAATGGGGTTGGGGTGTTTCAAGTAGGCTAGGAAACAACCTTCGTAAATAGCCGAAAGAAGTATGTCCAGGTCGACGATGCCACAATCAAACCTCCGAAAATTTATCCCTCTCCCCATGAGATCCTTCCACGGCAAGAGCTTGAGTTAAATTTCGAGAACTGTTCGATGTCAGCTCCAAGTAGTAGAGCTTTCCTTTCCGAATACCATAACCAATCGTCTTACGAGTCCGAATGTCCTTAAAAACACGAAAGGAAGGCCAAAAAATAACAAGGCAATGTAGGGCGACAGTTATTTGAGCAACAGATAATAAATTATAGTCAAGGGAAGGAACAACAAGTACAGAGTCAAGATTCAGGGTATCAGAGAGGGAGACATCGCCTTCCCCAATAATGGGGACAACATTACCATTGGCAACACTAACTATAGTATTGGTGGATGGTTTTAGGGTTTGGACCTGTCTAGAATCACAAGTCATATGTTTAGTAGCACCAGAATTAATTATCCATGTACTATTCATAACAGATGCGGAGATTTTTAAAGCCTTACCATCATTACCTGTATGATTAGAATCTACCTTAGCTTCGGCAACTAATGCACACGACTTGAACCGGTCACGATTGGTCCCACAAGTACGGCCTACCATTGCTCTGGGTGCACGTGAGTAACTAATTGATAAAGCCCAAGCCAAATAAATCAAGCCCAAGCTCCGCTGCAATCAAGATGGCCGAAGAAAGAAAAAAAATATTGCCTAATTCAACCAGCCAAGTCTTCACTCACGTGGACTTTTGATTCCCCTTTTCCTTTTTTCTTTTCCTCAACCAGCAAGCTTTCTTCTTTTTTCCTATTCTTCAGTCAAACACGATTCAGTCAGCAAGCTTTCTTCTTTCAAATTTGTTTCCTTCTTCCTTTCTTCAACTTTTCTTCTTCCTTCCTAAACAGCAGCGGTTTAAATCGGAATGGAGCAGCGGTGACGGTGGGTTCTTCGCGGCTGACAAAATACAAATCAAAGCTCAGTGTTGCAGCAGTGCAGCTGCAGGTCGGGGTTCGCTGTGGCTTAGTGGTTCAGACAGCAATTCCTGGTTCGTGGGTCGTCGAACCTCGAGTCGGGTACGGTGCAACAACATAAGTCGTTTAGGCGGCAATCTGTGCAATCCTTCACGGCTTCAGATCAAATCAGAAGCAGACAGGCCAATTGGTATGTCGTATCACACAACGGAGAGTGAAACAATTCGACGAATTCGGGTCAGCAATGACGGCGTCGCTCGCTGTTTGTTTCGAATTTAGAAAGGGTAGCAATGACAACAGCGCTATCGCAGCTAGGGTTTTTTTTTTTTTTTTTTTTTTCTGACTTGGCTCTGATGCCAGGAAGGGAATGCTCTAAATGATATTATATTCTTCTCAATAAGAGGTACTTATAGGTTTACAACCCTAACATAAATGGAAAGAAAACTAATTACAAGTGATTCCATGAGAATACACGGAATTACAATCAATTAGGGATCCTACCTAAAATACAAAAAGTCAACAGGAGATGGTGTTGGCACTTTTGCACGAATTTGATCTGGTACTCTCGGATGAATGTCATTGAAATGATTGTGAATAAGATGCGAATTCATATATATATATATCGTGACGACTCTTCTTCTTTGCTCAGTTAGCTGAATGTTCTTAAGTTCTTTGTCTTTTTTTTTTTCCGCGGGTACATATAACGCAGATAAGAAAGGTGATGGGTGGATTGATGAAGAAGAGTGGAAGGAGTTTGTGTTGAAGCATCCGTCTATGATCAAGAATATGAATCTCCTGCATTTAAGTAAGCAATATATTTAGCTTGAAGTTTGTCAGTCATTACTGTTACTGCCTCTACGTATTTCTTATTTCCGTTCTATTTCTTACCACTTAGCAGGGATATAACATGAGTATTTCCTAGCTTTGTGATGACTTCTGAAGTTGAAGATTCAGAAATATGAGAGTTTTACTTTGAAGGGCGATCGAATGAAGCTACTCCCACTTCATGGAGGATAAATTTTTATGGTGACACTTCAACGGCATAAAGAAATTTCAAGTTCAAGATGAAGCCGCGAAGAACTGCTGACGAATATATATAAGCCATTCCTGGAGTTGCATGCATTCATGCTATCCTCAAGGTCTCAATTGGTTCTTCAACTCTAGGGTTGGCAAAGATAAGTGTATAGTCTGTCCATATATGTGCAGTGCAGATCACGTAGTCATTCCAATCCTTTTTACTTTTTATCTCCCTTTGTAGTTGTAATGCTTCTGCAACATCAAATGTTCAGTGATAAAGACTTTTCATAGAGTTATGTATGCAAGCCGATCCTTCGAAGCGAAATTGATTCTTCTAATTAGTTCAAGCATAAGTATAGCTAATAAGTTACGCATGCTCTTAGTATTAACTTTTATAATCAATGTCCTAGAACCAGATGTGCATGTGAGCGATCGTCCTTTAATATCGCACACACGAAAGTGTATGTGAACTTTGAATTAAGCAGATGCATGTTAAGCAAATTGGTCAGAGCAGTGCGCTCAATTTTCATACAAGTTTGAATTCTTCTTCTTGTCGATGCGAAGTTGAACCAATGACGGATCCAAAAATTCATCCTCGAAGGATCACCTTGTACAAGCATCCAAAATTTTTCAGATGAAACCACATTTGAAAATTAAACGATAATTAATGTCATAAGCCCAAGTCATCAGACTCAGAAGACTGGTTGACTTTATTTGTTGCGCCTTGTGAGGAATGAAATCTCCTCGAAGTTTCTTTGAGAATATCTGTGTGAATTGGATCCATGCCCTTTAATGGCTTTGTTGACTTGAAGGAACTTGTCGGTTTTAGACTTTTTAGGGTCGCCGTTGCTGCTGCTTCCTACTTCCAACATATTGCATTTCTTGGAACTCAACCGGTTTTCATGAAACCTTTCTGACACTTGATCTTTTTGCTTCTTTCTTCATCCCTAGTTTTCGAGTCTTTTCCTTTCTTTAACCCGGTAAATAATCTGCTAGGTTAAATTTTGTGGCACTGGCAAATGGCAATGGAGGTTCAAATTCCGCGGTAAGCAAATGTCCTTTTTATGTTTGCCATTTTGGAGTTATGGGAAAAAGTTCTAAGCCAATTTCTGTTTGTAATATGTTGTACTCAGGCTACGTCACTATGACTTAGAAAAAAATGCTGCAGAAAAATTCCCAAAGAATATTAGGGAAGCACTGAAAAAATTCCCCAAGAAAAGGCTTCTTGATTTACGTGAGTTTGTCCTGCAGAGGTGGAATCAGATACTTTTAGTTTACTGTGTTATGGCCCTCTCAACCGATCCTTTGTTCTTTTACCTCATTACGGTTAACAAAGAGCAGAATTGCCTTACCAAGGACAGAACACTGGGGACCGTAACTGCGCTTCTGCGGTTCATCATTGATATCTTTTATATATTTCATATCATTTTTCAATTCCGTGCAAGCATTGTTTCTCATTCTTTTCAAGCCTCTCGACAAGGCGAATCAGTTACAAAGACTCGAGCAAGAGCACGGAAATATTTGTTGATGTACTTACCAGTCGACATGCTTATAATTCTTCCAATTCCACAGGTATGGAAAGCCATTTTCTATATTGTAGAGCTATAATATTTACAAGGTAATGCTAGCTTATAAGCTTGCTCTGATCTGTCCAGGTGCTAGTTTTTGCTGTCATTCCAAAACTAAAACATATGGGGCTTAAAGCATCTCTATGGAACAATATGTTTGTGCATCAATATATACTAAGGGTATTTCGAATCGGCTCCTTGTTAAAAGTTGCTCAAAGGGGTTCTAGCATCCTTGCCGAATCTGCATGGGCTGATCTCTTTCTTTTTATGCTTGCCGGTCATGTAAGTTCCATAACCATTTCTAATTCGGGTGATGCTAGAGAAACCATTTTGATATAAAGAAGGAATCCAACCATCAACCGCCAATCATATGGTTTATAAAATATGTCTAAAACAAAGATGGTCTCGTGTCATTTTTCTTTCTAATCAGTCCTTCGACATCTGAAACGCTTTTGTTCTTCTGTATATCAATTTTCTGGTTCTGTACGTAGGTTATTGGAGCCTTCTGGTATATTTTTTCTATAGAAAGAGTAGTAATGTGCTGGGAAGAATCCTGCGAATATCATGGAGGTGCGCACTGCTATTTATTTTGCGATGACACATTTGCAGCTAACGCATTCGTATACAACTCTTGCTCTACAAACACAAAGAAATTTGGAATATACTCTGATGCCCTTGAATCTATAGTTCTGGATTCAACTCCCTTTGTAAAAAGGATTTCTTACTGCTTCTGGTGGGGGATACAAAATCTAAGGTTATTACTTATCCAAATTATCCTACTATTGAGAGAATCTAAGGATTTCTTAGTGCTTCTGGATTAAGCACTTTTGAGAATATCCTCTTATATGTTTAGTTGTATCGTGTTATTGCAGCTCCCTCGGCCAAAGCCTCAAACCCACTACTGCCTACGTATGGGAGATAAACTTTTCAGTTATTGTTTCAATATCCGGCTTGGTGCTACTTGCAATTCTTGCTGGAAATCTGCAGGTTGGTGCTAAACCATTCCCTCCTAGTTCTTTAGTCTAATTATCGAATGACTGATTACGCATGTATTCAATTATCAATTACTTAATCTAGTTTTACTTGTGTAAACCTGATGAGCCTGTAAAACTGAAAGAACTCAACGTTTCACTTCAATTGCATATGTGTTTATAATACGTCGAAGATTACATCCAGGGTTTGAAAACCCAATTTACATGTTGAAATTCAAAAATACAAACAGAAAAGCAAAGAAAGCTACAGACTGTTTAACCTACAACAAACGTTTGAAATAAGTCCTAGACTTAACCAACTTCTTGTGAGATAAGAGTTGCAGGTCAACTTAAAACACTTCAAGTAGTTTTGACCGTAACAAAATCACGACTTGGACTAACAGAGACATCTTTGTTGTCAACTTGTCAAACAGAAATATTTGCTGTCAAAAGTTGCGAGATCGGAGGAAATGAGATTGAAGGAACAAGAAATAGAATTGTGGATGTATTACCACTCACTTCCACGGAGTCTTAAGGCGCGGATTTGGCAATCCATGAAACACAAACTGAAAGAAAACATACGCATTGACGTGGAGAATTTTCTTCACCTTCTTCCCGTGGAACTTTGTAAGGATATAAAATGGCATCTCTGCTCAGGTCCACTCAGAGAAGTGCCAATACTTCAAACCATGGACGAGCAACTGTTGTTCGCCATCTGCAAACATCTCACGCCGGTGCGGTACGCAAAGAACAGCATCATTTTTCATGAGGGAGAGCCACTTGCTGAGATGCTCTTCGTCACACGCGGTAAGCTATTGACTTACACCGCCTCTGCTACTGCTAGGGTAAGATTTCTTGGCAAATGTGACTTCTACGGAGAAGATCTTTTCGATTGGGTGCTGATCAACTGTGCCAGCTTATCTAACTTCCCCTTGTCAACTGAAACTGTCAAGGCGCAAACGGAAGTTGAAGTGTTTGTTCTAAGGGCGCAGCAGTTGAAGACGGTAGTCTCTAAATTCTGGTGGCTTTTCAACAAAGAGCAACGCCGCCACTCGAACCTTAATACTAGCTTTAACGTGGAGCAATGGAAACCAAGGGCAGCTTATGCTTTGCAAGCAGCATGGCGTCGCCATAAAAAGGAAACCTCGACAGTGCGAAGGAGACGTTAATTATTGGGAAGCTCTCCATTGTGCTGCTACTTTGTAACAAGTAGATTTTATTTCTATACAGGGTTAAGTAAAGAATCATTAGTTATTCGCACAAGCACCCGAAGTTTCGTGTTTGAAACTCTCTTCCAGTGTTGTAGGTTGGTTTCTCTCAAATCACACAACTCATTATATGTCAACATTTGATAGACCATCGAGAATTTGCCCCATCGAAGTTTAGAAGTAAGAAGTATAACTTGAGGTACTCCATAGACGCCACAGCCAGAGGATGACGAGCAATCGATAGAAATTGTACCAATAAAGTTATTCAAAACGTTGTTTTTCATGTGCCTCGTACCACTAATTGATTTTAGGATGGATGCTCCTATGTATTTTAATGAGCTTTGCTCTCATAAGCATCAAAAGACAAAAAGAAACGGTTAAGATTTAACTAAATCTTAATAAGTTAAATCTCAATCCATCCTCTTCCAAACACTCGAGAAGAAGGAGCAATAAATCCAGTACGAAACTGGAAAATTATGTGAACAATATAAAATATATCTGCGAATGAACGCAAAACACTAGCTGTTATCTCCATCTTCCTGTCCAAACCAAGGCACTTTTTCTTATCATCGATCACAGGGATGTAAAAGAACAAGGGATCAAGGGAGACGGCAATAATACATGCCAATACAAATATCTTATTCCACTTCTGAAGGAATGGCCCTTGAGGATCAAGAATTCCACTACCAAAGCTGTTGCCGACAACACTGTCAATTGAATAAGATTTCCATGACTCTTAATGCGCTCAGAACCAGATTCCAAGCTTCTTTGGAATTTGACTTCCCTGGTGGCATGTCATCATCTGGAGAATATAGTGGCTCAACATTTTTCTCTGCAGTCCAATCCTGAAGCCTGAAACAAGACATTACATACAACAGTTAAACATAATTCGGAACGAAAGGACAGGGACGGGGTGTGGAATTATGTGCCAATGTGTGGACAGAACAAGTGAAAGAAGTGATATTAGCAACAGTAGTGGCACATTATTAGCATCCCATCGCCACCGTGATATAAAACTCCCGGCAAGTACTTCAAAGTAGCAGGACAACATAACATCAAAATCCTGACTTATTTGGCTCCAAAAGCCAGAAAATTGCTGTATAGTTGCAAACTAGTCAACATGATATCATGTATGTGAGGTTATACTACTAATCGTCGAACTAACCTGACGAACTTCTCTTGCTGAAAATTCATGACTACAACTTGTTTTCGATCGAATCTCCAAACAAAAAGTTAACCTCCGAACATTTGAATAACCCGAAGAGCTTTTTCGTGCACCAGCAAGTTCCCAAAAGCAGTCCCTAGACAACAATTCAAAGTGAAGCAAAATGAGTTCAACATAGAAACTTCTATAATTTCACAAGATGTTTCGTAGAATTACTCGCCTAAACGCGTTAATAAAAGGGGAACTTTATCTGGGGTCCAAGAGCAATATCAAAATGTTGTTTGCCCCAATTCAAAGAGCAGAAATCGCACTAACGCTAAATATCCATACAAAAATATCGTCATTTGAGCAATATCTCCCTAAATTTAGCATTTTTTTTCATACATTCATAAATTCATTGCTAACAACAAAATATAATCAAGTAAATAAAAAATATGGTCACAAATGGACCAACAGGATCTCTTGCATTCAAAATTTGAACCAAAAGCCAAAGAATTTCAACAAAAAATTTGATATTTTTGGATTCCTTTCCAAAAAAGACCAAAAAACTAAATCTTTAACATTCCAAAAACTAAAATCCAATCTTTGGGGGAAAAACCATGTCACTGAAAGCAAAAGAAAAAATGAACAAAAATAGCAAATTGAGGAAAACCCAACAACGAAAACTGCTGATATATAAGTGTGAACACGAAAAATTCCTGAAATGAAAGAGACAAGAACAACGTGCACAAAATAATATTTGTGTTTGATGATTTTGGGTTACAATCTCCCTCAAATTTGATCATCTGATTCGATCTGCGTAAGGTGTTGATTTGTGGATGTTTCGTTGATCCAAGGGCTGTCGAGGCTTGATCTTGGATGAACTGTTGGAAGTTTCTTCAAGGGGTCGTGGGCTTGATCTTTGAAGGTGGATTTGAGCGGATCTTCAAGAAGCCGTTGGGGCTTGATCTTAAGGATGAGTGTTTCTTCAAGGGCCGTTAAAGTTTGATCTTGAATAACGGTGATGAACAGATCTTCAAGGGCTTTTGGGCTTGATCTTGAAGAACGGTTGGATGTGTGGATTTGTTGATGTTGTTGATCCAAAGGGCCGTCGGGGCTTGATCTTAGGATGAACAGTTGTGTGGATTTGTTGATGTTATTGATCCAAAGGGCCGTTGGGGCTTGATCGTAGGATGAACAATTGTGTGGATTTGTTGATGTTATTGATCCAAAGGGTCGTTGGGGCTTGATCTTAGGATGAACAGTTATGTGGATTTGGTGATGTTGTTGATCCAAAAGGGCCGTCGGGGCTTGATCTTAGGATGAACAGTTGTGTGGATTTGTTGAACACTTTCTTCAAGGGCCGTCGAGGCTTGATCTTGAATTGGTGGAAGTTCTTCAAGGGCCGTTGGGGCTTGATCTTGAAGGAGAAATTTCTTCAAGGGCCGTTAGGGCTTGATCTTGAAGGAGGATTTGACGAAGAACGAAGAGGGCTTTCTTGATCCTTCGGGATTTGCTTGAATTTGGGAGGTTGGATGCTTGAAAGCTTTAGAGTTTCAAAGCTTCAAGGATTTTGGATGTGTGGGGAGTATTCTCTTCCATTTTGGGAGTAGAGAAATGTATTTGTGAATTGGTTCTTGATTCTTTGATGGAGGAGCCTATTTATAGGCTTTGGGAACAAATCACCACCATCCTTTTGTTTTGGTGGATGTTGTAGGTGAATTTTGGTGGATGTTGTAGGTGAAACTTGGTGGATGTTTGTAGGTGAAACTTGGTGGATGTTGTAGGTGAACTTAGTGTATGATGTAGGTAAAGTGAATGAAGGTTGTAATTTTAATACAATGGTCAACATTTATTTCACCAAAATTTCAATGTTTACAAATGTAATCTTAATGCAATGGCTAACATTTATGCCACCGAAATTTCAATGTCTACAAATGCCCCCACTTCAAGGCGCGTTGTATACATGTGCTTGTTACATGTAGGAGATGCGTTTTGAAGTCCCTTAATGTAGTTGTCAATCCAAGGGCCATCGAGGCTTGATCTTGAATTGGGCTGGAGATTTCTTCAAGGGCCGTTGAGGCTTGTTCTTGGACTTTGTTTGAAATTTCTTCAAGGGCCGTCGAGACTTGATCTTGAAGGTTGAAATTGGACCACAAGGAGCTTTATGTGGTAGATGATCTTTGGCTTTGGTAGTGGATGAATTGACACGTATTTGTTTTTGCGCTTTGTTGACTTTCCACAGCTCTGATCTTGAACTGGGTTGGAGGATTTTTTGGATTCCTCCAATTGTTGATTTTCCACAGCTTATTCTTGAACTGGATTTGATTCAAATATGGTGGACGCTTGATCTTGAATCAGACTTGTGATTTCCTCAAGAGCCGTCGAGGCTTGATCTTGAATTTGGCCGGAAACTTCTTCAAGGGCCATTGAGGCTTGATTCTTGAAGGTTGACTCGAACACATGGCAAGCAGGCACGAGGTGAAGGTGACGACTTGTTGCTTTGTTCAATCTTTCTAATTCACACCTGAGCAGTTTGATCAACGGTATGATCTTCAAGGGTGGTGAAACGGCACATGCAGCCCACAACGCCTAGCAAGTCGGCCCAAGAATTTGAGGGTCAAAACGAGTCCTCCACCCAGAGTGATTGCAAACCTGATGATATGAGATACTTTTGATTTTGAAGAAGTAGCGGATGAATCGGCACGTGCTTTGTTGTGCTTGTCTCCACATGCTTCAATGTATCATTTTCCCTTGTCTTATCTATTCTTCTAGCAGAATGTAGCATCTTCTCGAGTTCTTCAGCTCAGACTCCTTCTGCTGAGCTGACTGTGCAGGCTGCATTATTCTCTGCTTGTTTCTTTAGGCAGATGTGGCAGCTTCTTGAGTTCCTCAGCTCGGACTCCTTCTGCTGAGCTGACTGTGAATACTGCATTCTTCTCTGCTTGTTTCTTCTGCACGTTGTTTCCACATGCTGCAAGGTATCATTTTCACTTGCCTTATCTGTTCTCCAGGCAAATGTGGCATCCGAGTTTGAGTGGAGGTTCCGGCATATTGTTTTCTTTATCCTTGTCTTTGTAGGTAAGAACAAGGAAAAAGGAAAGGACAGGGAAAATGCATGATATGAGATACTCTTGCTTTCTACCCTGGTGATATGAGATACTTTTGCTTTGGTGTCATTTGTTTGCAGAGGTACCCCAAGGAATAAGAAACACTGAGTGACTCGAGAGGCTTCGTTGGGAAGGCATTCTCGGAGATGAAGAAAGGTTCTCAGAGATGAAGAAAGGTTATGTATGTCTGCCTTACTATGGAGGGTGAAGGTGGATAGTTATAGGAAATTCTTTAGTACCTGTAGAGGTACTATTCTTTTACTCGTGTCAGCAACCAATGCGTGATTGATCAGTATGGCTTCACGTGCTTTCTTCTTTATCAGAAATCTTCGACAAATTGTCCGTAATTTTCGTCAAGCTGAGTGTGCATGTGCCATGTGTTAACGAGGCTGAAAAAGACTGGCGCCTCTTCGATATCTGGGATCGGAGCTTCGACAAATTGCCCGTGATTTCCACAAAGCTGAGTTTGCGCGTGACGGGTGCTAACGCGTCTGGAAAAGCAAGATGCTTCTCCGATTTCTGAGCTTGCCTCTTTGATTTTTGAATTGGCCTCTTCGAATTCTGAGCTCGCCTCTTCGATCTTTGAAATCTCGTCGAGTGTTGATCTTTATAGAGGCACGCAGTTCGTTTCAAAGCACACTTGAATTTTCGCTTGTAGAAACTCCCTTCTTGCACTTCTAAGATCTTGATTTGTCTGACCTCTTCTTTCTTCAACACATTTGAAAATGTCTGGACCTTCCGACCGTCGTTTTGATTTGAACCTTGGTGAAGAGATAGTCCCGTGTTCTCCAGATAACATATGGCGCCCATCCTTCATATCCCCTACTGGTCCTTTTACCGTTGGGGATTCGGTGGTGAAGAATGATATGACCGCTGCGGTGGTGGCCCGAAACCTTGTCACTCCTTGAGATAACAGACTACTTTCCAAACGGTCTGATGAGTTGGCTGTTAAGGATTCTTTGGCTCTCAGTGTGCAGTGTGCAAGTTCTGTGTCTAATATGGCCCAACGCCTATTTGCTCGAACCCGTCAAGTTGAATCATTGGCGGCTGAAGTGATGAGTCTCAAACAGGAGATTAGAGGGCTCAAGCAG